TGCTGAGAGTGTTGACTGTGGAGCCAAGCAAACTAAAGCTGTGAACAATCTCAATCTCTTCACCATCCATCCTGATGCTGCCAATTGGTCCAATGGTGAGAATCTTTGTCTTCTTGGCATTGAGCCTCAATCCATACTGATAGGGCATGGTTGCTATAAGTTGTTCATATAATTGCTATGAGTCACAGTTGACTCAAGGCACCACCACCATGCTATGGATTTTACCTTTTTAAAAAAATTTTGTGCCATTCTTCCTATACTTTTATCTCCACAAAGATAGGCATGTTTAGTGTCTTTCTTAATATTTAGCCTTTCAGCTGTGTCTAGTACATAGAAGACAGCCAATAAATATTTATAGAATGAGTGGTTGCTGAGTATGATAAAATATGCTTTATCAAAAAATTTTGAAGTATTTCATCTTGTAATAATGGTTTACATTTCAAAAACCTTGGGAAGTTTTCTGAGTTGAAATGACTATCCCGCTCTTTCTTGTCAATGTTCTCTTCTAGGGAAAACCTGGTCAAAAAGGTTATGCAGGTGAACAAGGACCAGAAGGCTTAAAGGTAAATAAATTGCCTTTATTATCAGGCATAAAATAGTTAATAGTATCAGGCATAAAATAGTTAATAGTATCAGGCATGTCAATCACATTTTGAATATAATTGTAAAAAAGATAAAGTAATGACTCATACAAATAAAAAAGTAACATGTCAAAGATATTATTGAAATTGGTAATTTATGAGACCCACTAACATGTTAAAATTAGTTTAAAGAGGACATAAGAAGCCATATATCTGAATCTAGGAACTCTAGTTTTTGTTGTTATAGTTATGTGGTGACAAGTTGACCACAAGTCATAATGACCCTATGTACAATAGCTCTGAAACAGCTCTCTCCTAAGTGAATCTCACTGTGTCTGACATACCTACCTCCAATATCCCAGTTATGGTGTCAGTCCATTTCATCCGGTGCCCTCCTCTCCTGTGCTGTCCCTTGGCCCTTCCAAATATGATATCCTTCTCTAATACTGATCCTTTCTGGCTACATTCCCAAATTATGTGAGATGGAGTCTCAAAATCCTTTCCTCCAAGGAGAAGCTTGGTTTCACTCTCTTTAGGATAGACCTGTTCATTTTCTTGGTAGTCCACAGTATGTTCAATATTCTTCTCCAGCATCACAAGTCAAAAGCATCAATCCTTCTTCTGTCATCCTTGGTCATTTTCCAGCTCTGATCCAAAAGTAATTGCAAAGAAAATAACCTGGATCGGGTACACCTTAGTCTCTAGACTTTGTCTCCTTTGAAGAGGTCCTCAACAGCAGATTTTCCTAGTTACAATTCATCTTTTGATTTTTCTGACTGTACTGGTAATTTAGAGGATTAAAAGCTTACCTGCAAACTGGAAGGTTGGCGCTTTTGGGAAAAAGATGAGCAGGTGCTTTCATAAAGATGTATAGGCCCAGAAATCCCATGTACCAATTCTACTATACTATAGGAAAAGTATGCATCAGAATTGAATCAATATCAGTGGATTTGTCTATATTTATATATTTAGTCAAATATCTCTTCTTATCCCTATGTACACATTTAATATGTATCTTGCTTGTCAAATTTTATATGTGAAAGTATTTCTAAAATTATTAAAGCCTTGAGAAAACCCAACTTAGATAAGTAATCATTATTTAAAAGAAAATAGAGAAAAAATATATTTTATAAAAATAATATAACAATTTCAATATCTGTGGTTTTTTTTCTAAACTCTGACTATAGAAGTAAATTAAAAATTAACATGGAAACAACATTATAACTAGTCTTATTTGAAACATAATCATTTTTTGCAGCTTTTTAAAATTTTTTTATTGACAGGGTGAAGTAGGAGATCAAGGAAACATTGGAAAAATTGGTGAAACAGTAAGCTTATTTTATGTTCCTACTGTCATATTTGAAAATGATATGTAAACCTTCTTAGGAATAATATTAACCATAATTGATGCTTGTAAATTCAGAATAATTCTTTTATGCTACAAATTTAAGTTAAATTTTAATATTTCTGTTGACAAAGAAAAAAATAGAAGTGCTCATTCCTAAAAGCTACATGTTATTAAAACCTAAGTTTAATGGTTTGTAGGCAATTTTTCTTTAAATTTCACAGTTTCTAATAAGCTAAGGGGTAATATAAAATATGTTTTAATTTTTCAAAGTAGGAGGCTTTATATTATATTTTGATCTAATTTTGGAGGGAATTTAATTTTCTATGGAGAGCAAAACAGTAAAAACTTTCTCTAATGAATAAATACACACAGCACTTGCAAAGGGGTAGTTTAATCAATACAATGCAAGTGAGTTTATTTACAACTGCTGAGTCATTTGCTGGATAAACTTGATAGAAAATTCAGGCTCTTTGATTTGGGTTAATGGTCATACAGCATTGATGAAACTATATGGTAACTACAATAAACAAATCAATTATCTGTAGCCTGTCTTGGGACTTGTTGTTGTTGTTATTATTTGCAGTCGAGTTGTTTGCGACTCATAGTGACCCTATGTACAACAGCCCTAAACCCTGCTCTATCCTGTGCCAAT